GTCATACATGCCTAGTATATATAATTATGCAATTGATATGCGACAGTTATGCGACAGTTTTTCGCATAACCTTCGCATATGGACAGTTATGCGATGAATATGCGACAGTTTTCGCATAACCTTCGCACTTTTTGGGGTGAAAAACTTAGCTTTTTATTGGGCGGTGTGAAAAACTTAATGTGTCTTTGTTATGGGGTGAAAAAGATTTTTTCCCTAAATTATAACTAGCTTTACGATACTTACACTACAAGAAAACACTTCAATTCCAACGGGAAAAATTTCCATTGGAAATTCCAATGAATATTCCAACAATCTTAATTTTATGTTGGAATAAGTGTTGGATGGTTGAGAAATTCCAACGGATTTTTTCTGTTGGAATAGTTGTAGGAATTTATTTCCATAGGATTTTCCGTTAGATTTTAGCTATTCCAACGGCCGTTTTTCCTACAAATTTTTATACGTATGAATATCCGTTGGAATAGCTATTCCAATGGAAAATTTCCGTTGGAATGTAAGAGTTTTTTTGTAGTGTTATCAAATAATAATAATAAAAAAAAATCATGTAGTTCTATATATATTATCAAACACACTCTTAATATATCATCTATTGCTAGTTGTATATTGTATTTTGTTGTCATTGCATGTACGCATATCTACAATTTATTTAATGTGATCTTCGTGAGTATCAATGCGAGGTTCGATTACATTTATTTGTATCCAATGCACATAAAAAAGAAGTAGGTGTTTGATGGGTTAGTGAGTAATAAGAATGGATTTTAAAATTATTGTAAATCTATATGCTATAATTATAAAACTAAAAATTCCTTTATGCTATACTAAAAGTAAAGGTTAAAATTATTTATACGGTTCGATACTTATAGATAAATTAATTTTGTTATGTTAAAAATACCGGAACCGCTCTGACCGCTCCTCTCTGAACCGGATTAATTCTCGACCACCGGTACTTGCAAAACACGTCGGGGTGGTCCCGGCGTGAATACTCCGACGACGCTCAAGTTAGTAGGGTTTTTAGAAACAATAGGGTATTCGTAGAAGGCGTGTATATTGTCATATATCTTATATAAAAAGAACATGTCCTTTTATAGAGGCCCAAGAGTCCCTGTATGACAGAACTCTAGGCTCCATAGACTCATTTCCCCTCACGCTTCCTTAAAACTGAACAAAGAGTTTGGCCCGTGCCCAATCTGTTCTGGATCCCTTACCTTACCACGCAGATACCAGCTCGGCACTTATGCTAACAGTAACACGACCTCGCCTTGGCCCCGCCGAGCTACCTCTTGAAGGTTTTACCACGCCCGTTCAAGGGTTCTCCTCGCAGCAATCAGTCGATTCCCTCATCGTGCAGAGCGGAGCTCACCCGTACGCCCATCGCGGTTACTATCAATGCTAGCTAAAAGAAAACCAAACAAAATACAACAAAGGATGAAGAAAAGCCATAAAGATAGGAAGCCATATTCAAAAAACCATGTGCATTCATTAATTTCTTCTTACTGCCATATATCTGTTTTCATGCATATGACTGTTCTATCCTACCAAAGGCAGATCATGTCCTACTATATTGGTGCTAAGGCTGCACACATCACAGTAATCAAGGGACACGTGTATGGACGATATTCATTCTCGGGATTTAGGGTTATGTGTACTGCATGGGTCAGTTTTCTCCTTTTCCACGTATGCATGCTTGCTTTCCACGTGAGCAATTCCTTTTTCTTTGTCATGGCTGAAGTGTCGAAGACCATGGCCTCTTCTAACAGCCCCCTTCAATTCTATGCTCGACCTTTCGCTAATCATCAACCTGTTTCTCAACCAAGCATAGAATTGCCCTGAAAGAGGCTTGGTAAAAATGTCAGCTACCTGTTCAGTAGCTGGTATGTGCCTAATGGTAACAATCTTGTTCTCAACCTTTTCCCTAATAAAATGTAAATCAAGCTCAAGATGTTTTGTTCTAGAGTGATTCACAGGATTCCCAGCCAGGCACACAGCTCCCCTATTGTCAACCCATATGCTGCTTGGTTTAGGTGATTTTATCATTAGTTCACTCAATAAGGACTGTATCCACATGATCTCACATGTGACTTGTGCAGCACTCCTGTATTCTGCCTCGGTTGAAGACCTTGAAACCAGATTTTGTTTCTTGGATGACCAAGAGATTAAATTCTCTCCCATGTATACACATATTCCACTTGTAGACCTTCTATCATCTATGTCAGATCCCCAATCAGC